GGAAGGGTCCACAAGGGTCGCGCGGGCATATTCCATTTAGCACGCCAGCCGATCGTAGGCAGACGGTCTTGCGACGAAGCAACGCAGCGCCGAGTCGGAATGCCTGCTAGGCCTATGCGCTTCGTCGGAGTCGGGGGATCCAGCGTTCTTGTTCGTCGTGGTCTGTTTTAAGTACTGTTTTCTTGCTGCATGAAGTCGGCACGCGCGGGAAGAACACGTAGAAAAATAAACGTTCAGTCAGTCAGAGTTTTGAGAGGAAGGAAAACAAAGAAAATAAACGTTCGTCGCTGGCCGCCACCCAAGTAACTGTCGGCCCTGCCCTACTGCGCACGCGCAGTAGTTGCTTCGTTTACCACACGATAGATGGCGCCTGGCTCTCAGCATTATCAAATTTGGCAATTTTCGCCACACATCTCTAATTATGCTACAAAATGTGGATCTGAATATTATTTAACAAAACTTTTAGGAAACATTTGCCAGCTATTTATTGTTTACGATCGCGGTGCTGGTGAGGTAGGCTCTTACCCAATAGGCGACCTGGATTTGGCTGACGTGCTCCATTTCCGCGGATGCATCGTTGTGAACAGGCGAAGGAAGGAAGGCGCAAAAGAGTCCAGTTTTCTTTTAAAATTTCTATAGCAAATAATTTTTTTTTGGCTCCCTATTTTTGTGTTTTTGTGTTTCTTTTCACACCTTTTACGACGTGCGGTGGATGAAACTCGATTTTAAAATCATTTCATGGTCCCTTTAATCGAGACGGACGTGTTCCACTGGTTGTTTTGGATTAGCTCCCGCTCCCGCTCCAGATCTCGATCTGGATCCGAGAAAAGTCGCTCCGCCGATTTCGGCGGATTCAACCGGAAGCCAGCCGGGCTAGCACTCGGCGCACACACGTGACTTCCTTTCTCAGGGGGCATCTCGCCTGATCTTGCCCATTTTGCCTCAGAAGAATTCGTAATGGCCGCTTGCTTACTCCTTGGCTCGACAGCCGGTTCGTTTTCCAGGAAGGAGAAGAGAAGGTTTTGCCACGCTACGGGCATTCCCGCCATCTTTGCTAGAAGCTCCTTAGCCATTCCTGCCGCTCTTGCGTCGAACACGTGTTAGCGCCGCCATTGCGAAAGCGTATTCGAAACGATCGCGGCGGCCGCAGAAAGGGGATTCCCGGGCAGTTGAATGACGGGAAGGCATCCGCCGATCCCGGAGCAGTGGTCATGTTCCATGGGGATCCGTAGACGGCGCGACCCCGTTCGGATCGTGTGCTGCATTCCGGATATGGTCAGCTGATTCCGGCGCGCTTCAAAATGCCCAGTGGTATTCGCCATAAGGGAGGCACTCTTGTCCTCGGCACCCACTACCGCTCCCCTCTGTGGACAATATTGATAGGCTTAGTCAGATACTCTCTTCCATTCCTGATAACATTGTTATCATCGGGAGATACCTTTCCTTCCACTAATCAGTCCACTTTGTATAAATCATTTAATGACGGGATAATTTCGTTTTCTTTGGATCAGTGTGTTCTTTCACCAACAAGAAGCAATCCAATTTTAGATTTCTTATTAATTATTAATTCCAACGTCATTTCGAACGTCACCCTAATTGCAGGTATGAGCGAGCACAGTGCTGTGGTTTGTGAGTTGTTATTGAGTAAGGTGCAAAAGCTGTAAATACCCCCCACGATAAGTGTTTTTATGTGGACAAGGTGACTGTGATAGTATTTCCTGGGAACTTTTACGGTACTTTCCTTGCGTTTTAGCCTTGAGCGGGGAAAATTATGTTGAGCACTTGTGGAAAGTTTTCAATCGTGAACTATTCTACTCTCCGAAATTCGCATACAATCAGGAATTATCAAAGTGAATAAGTGACGGAAACCATTGATTATTTGCCGTATACGAAAACAAATAAAACGTAAATGCAGAGCTTATAAGATGTATCGAAGCAAAAACTTGAAGATTTTCAAGTTTTTCAAGACATACTAAAAAATGATCCTCGACAATTCTGGAAAATTGTGAAAACCTGCAAAAAAAAAATAAAGATGATACTTCTATTCCTGCTTTGCTGGGAAATGGCAATTTAATAAATGAAGACATTGAAAAGGCCACATTTTTAATGCTTATTTTAAATTCATTTACACGCCTTTTGTTTTTAATTGTATCGTTCCTGTGTCTGATCAGACGATATATACGATTATGGCGGATGTAATAATTAAATTAAATAGGATTGTGGCTTTAATAAAAGGCATAGACACGTCAAAGCCTTGTGGGCCAGATGGACTTTCGCGATAATTATTCACAATTGTAGAAAACAAATTGCTGAGTATTTACATGTTATTTTTGACAAGTCGCTAAAAGCTGATTTATTTTCGTGCGACTAATTTTTTTAGTCTGGTTCAAAAAACCTGGTAGCAAATTATAGCCCAATGTCACTCACGTCTATTGCTTATAAGCTTTTTGAAGATGTATTATATACCTCGATATATAGTTTCTAGGATTCTGGTTGTTTCTTTTCTCCAGCCCAGCACGGGTTTTGTCGCGGTTACTCGTGTGTCACACAAGTGATGGAATTCACCCATTTTGTTTTGTATGCTATTGAAAACAAACTATGTGTAGATTGTACGGACCCGGACTTTGATAGGTCAACATGCGTTGACTTTTTGTGCTTGGTTCCGGCGCCTGTAACCTGTACAGATAAAAAATTAATAAAATATATTATTAATATTTCTTAGACTTTTGTAAAGCATTCGATATTACGCCACATCATTTATTATTAGAAAACCTTATATTCCCAGGTATCAACCACAAAATTATCAACTGGGTTACTGACTAGTCGTCCGTTCGTGAACTAAGTGTTGCACTCAAAGGCCAGAAATGTTCGTCCATTGTATTAACCTCACGGGTAGCACAAAGGAGTGTATTGGGGTCCTTGTTATTTCTTATAGTATCTATCTATCTATATATATATTATATATATATATATATATATATATATATATATATATATATATATATATTAATGACATTTGTGAAGGTGAACAATCTCATGTTAAATTATTTGCGGACGATTGTGTAGTTTACAGAATAGTTGAACATGACGCGGATGCTTTTGTACTTCAGGACAATTTGGAAGTACTGAAAGGTTTGTGATACCGCTGGGAAATGAGCTTAAATTTAAAAAAAAAATATTCCATATATATGTTTTTCACCTGGTATAGCTTGCCCAACTGCATATGAACTGAAAAATGTAATACTTGCACGTGTACGCAGCTATAGGTATCTGGGGGTTTATCTTTCGTCCACGTTGAAATGGAATCATCACATTGATTAGACTCTTGCCAAGGCTAGTAAAATGTTGTACTTCGTCTGTCGAAATTATAGGAATACATCACGTAGCATGAAACCGATGTTACATATTTTTTTTATCAGGTCGAATCTAGAATATACATGTGTCGTGTAGGACCCGTCGCAGAGTTACCTAGTACAAAAGTTAGAGAAGACTCAGAATGAGGCATTAAGGTTTGTGACTGGAGATTACTACAGCCCATACACAAGTTGTACAGAAATTAAGAATAGTTTAGGTTGGGTCACGCTTAAACATCGAAGAAGGTGTTTAAGGTTACTTTTTTTTTTTTTACACACAGTATTATGAACGGACAGGCATTGAACGAAGCTTGTATATATCGGAGCCACATCATGTATCAGAAAATTTGAATCCCTCAAAAAAAGAAAAAAAAAATGGCAGAGTTTCGTCATCGAACTGACCGTTTTTCTTCATAATTTTTTGTTAATACTATTTATGAGCTGAATTCACTCTCAGAAGAGCTAATCTCGGTTTCTGATGTCGTTCTGCTTTATAGGAGATTAGACACTTGTATTGAAATATAGGAATGTATTTTCCTTTTTCTTTTGCGCATGTATATGAATTTTGAATTTGTGCACTGTGTGTACGCAATCTATGCACCCCCTGCATAATAAATAAGGAAGTATGGAAATGTATTCACCATTGTTCTTTTTGCGTGTGCGCATGATTTTTTTTTAATGTTTATTGTATGTACGCAGCCCATGTCCAAATACCTGCATAATGCCTAGCTGCGCAGCAGGTATTTATATAAATAAATAAATAGGGCCTTATTTAACTGGCTGTTTCAATAATATAATACAAAACGTTAACCAATATCTGTATACGGAGAACGTTATCGCTGTACGAAATCTCTTAAAAATAAAAATATACTTTTTTTTTATGAAACTCGATATAAAAAATTTCAAAATTTTAGATTTTTAGAACTTTTGGAAGAAGTTATAATAACTTCATAGAAGTCACCTGCACGAATATTATATTTCCGGATATCTTATGTTTAAAGCTGCACGCTAATGATCGTTTTGTGCCATAGTTCTTACCGGTTCAGTTTCCACGACAATCTTTAAGGCAACATTGCTCGGGGCAGCAAGTTGGCGATTTTATAAAAAGATAACCATAAAAGAAAAGAAAAACTTTTTCGTTTTTAAAAGAAAAAAAGTTTATTTTATCTTTGATCAAACTACGAACTAATTACTATTTTTAAATAGTTTCCAGTTTGTAAACAACGGCAAAACGTGCTTGCATTGCACCAAGTGGAACTTCAGATAGTTTTTTTCTATAAAACTTCTTGAGTTCTTTTTGTTTTAAAGCACAAATTCGTTCATTCTAGGACTTGAGCTATGACCTATTATTTCGTCTATATTACCAATTGTGCCCCTTCTCGGACAAGTTTGGTCGAATTCAGATGAAACCACCCAAGGAAATTCAACCCAACCCCGAGTAACACCGCCCTAACGTACGTGGGACCGCCTCGCACGGTTTGTTTACGTATCTTTGATATACTGCCAGGATGTCCAGGATGTTCGCAGACCCTGCAACCACACAGATTGCCTTCAGACTTTCCTGTAAGCCTTCAGTTTCCCGGAGGTCGGGCACGTGCGACGAGAGCAACGAGAGATTACGGAACTCGACGACCCCCTCAGAAGTGCATCAGTGTGGCGCTGGAAACGAGTCGATCAGGACGATCACTTCCCGCTCAGCATGAACGCCAAGGTCCTGGTTTTTGTTTTTGCCCTGCTGTCAGTCGGTGAGTTTTCGGGTTTGCTATATTAAACTAGACTGGAGATACACTTGGAGATATCGAGCCTCGTTTCACCCATTCGTAGTGATAACCTTTCCCATTGATCGAATCCCGTAACTAATATTGGCAAGCAATAGGCAATGAACGCGACATAATAATGAACAAAGTTAGGGGGTGAAGGTGACGGCTGGTGGAGGCCTCTACAGGATGTTGGTAATACAGTGTATTCTTGTTTTTAACAATTATAAGCTCAGAAAGTATAGTATATGCGATACAGGTTACATAAAAAAATAAGTTTCTTTTGAGCTTCATTAAAAATTTGGTTCGGGCTAGTTTGTTCTTGATGTCCGTGTTGCATATGTGCCTTCGTTTTGCTCCCGTCTAGTTCGCGCTTTCTTATCATTTTTAACCTTCTCATTTTTTTTTTAAATAACGCTTTGACACAATGTCTTTCCCCTTTTATTTTGGGATATTGAGTAGCCGTGTGGGGCCATAATTTTCTACATTCGGGCAAAGCAGGTAAAAGAGCAAATCGCTCCAAGCTATAGGGCGAATAACGAAGCCGAAAATATATTTTGACACCTCAACACAGACCGCGCTATGACACTCAACATGTTGCTTCATCTGTTCACGTCGTGCTCGGTGCCACCGAGCCTTTTGCATTTTCGGGTCAAAACATATTTTCAGCGTCGTCATTGGCTAAGTTCCCTCAGTAAGTTACCGCAAACAGCCCTCCCAATCTTTTTTTTTTTTTTGGAGGGGGGGGGGGGGGGGAGTTAAATTGTGAGTCCTAATATATTTCATATAATTAATCAACTTCTAACCATCCAATATGGTCTCTGCTTTTACCTCTCTTGGTTAGAGAGCCTGGATTTAAGAGAGGGCGCAACTCAAACTTATGGAGGGTGTGTGCTACTTAACGGCGGATGCCTACAGCGCAGAATGGCAGCAAGTGCGCATGCCTTTGGTTGTTGCTTGGTGAGGAGCAAAGTAAGCGGGGATGCAGAGACGTTTGTAGGCAATCCACGTTCTCGACACCAGCTCGCAGCTCGCATTGCAGACGCGGTCCATAAACCACGTGACCCCAGACGAGCAGTTGGAACCACTCCGTATAATCTAGGCAGACTACTCCTAATTTTAGCGAAAATTACGACGTTAATGTGGGGGTAAAAATTATGTATTCCCCGGTTCGAGCTTCTTTTAAACGCTAATGGCCCGATTTTCTTTTTTTTTTTTTTTTTGGCATATCGTAAATAAACCAGGAACTCAACGATCATTATAGTTTCATGTTTTCTTTTTTTTTCTTTTTTCAAGATCAGTTATTAAATCTTGGATGTCGTTATTCCATTATGCTTTATTTGAAGAAATGTGAGCTTACAGGCGTCTTATTATCGCTCTTTGGCCAATGAGATCCCGATATTCATCAAGAACAACATCGAATGACCAATCACGAAGCAAGAAGTGTGAATATATATCCCTGTGAACTTCTTTATCCTTTTTTTGCTTCTTCCTTCATTTAACGCGAGAGTGCAACCAACGTTTCTGACGGTCAGATCGCTGGAGGGTGGGCAACACGAGCGTTGTGCATTTCAGCGCTGATGGCCGAGGCTCAGCGTTTCCCCGGAGGAGGAGGAGGATTTCCAGGGCGCTTCCCAGGAGGAGGGGGAGGAGGAGCCCGATGCGGAGTGAGATTTAAACAAATATAGGTCTCGGTCATTGAGAACTGTGCAGGGCTGGAGAGAGCCTAGCCAAAACGCAAACGGCATTCTGCGCCCTGTATGATCACACAAAAAAAATTTCGTCAAAAGTTCTTAGTCGGGTTCAGCTTTTTCAGCAGAAGCGGTTCAAGTCAAAATCTACAAAATTAATACGCACAAAAAAACTCTGATATTACTAAACCTGGGACGGAGAAGAAAAATAAAGACACCTAGAAAGAAGGCCAGCTTGCGCGCTCACTTTTTGTAAAAAAAAAAAAAAAGAAATAATAAATAACATAGATTGTGAGGTGACGTCAATTACTCTATTTATTTAGTTGTTTATTTACACATGCTGCCAGTTGTCATTTCGTTGCCAAGGCAGAAGGAGGCCTACACAAGTAGACATTGAAAAAATATATGGAGATTAACATAAGCAACGTTAACTATACTGTTAAAAAAGAATTTCAAAGGTGGTACTGAGGCGCTGTCAAAAATTCTTGAATGGACGAGGAACTCGTGACTTTAGTGGGAAGTATGTTTCATTCTTTAAGTGTACACTTGAAAAAAAATTATAACACTCGATACGGCAGTAGGGTACGACAATACTGTTTACATGTTTGTGACGCGTGTAACGTGAGATATTAAAATGCATCGATCGTCTACGAGGCTGAGTGAAGGGTAGAGGTAAAATATTTCAAGCAGCAAACGATGGAAGCCATTACTTTCTGCGGGCGGACACAAAAATAAAGAGTGGTTTGCTTTCCTAACTTTATTGTCGTTTTTTTTTTTCTTTATTAAAACTTTTCTCATTCTATGTTAGGCTGCGATCCACATTTTGTAGCAATACATTGTAGGTACATAAAACCTGAGATCATTCTCCTCAAAATATATTTAAAAAACTTCTAAAACAGGATTTAAATACCAGTCTGATGTGCACACCGGAAAACAAAGTATTGGCTTTTGTTCGTTTTCCTGGTGAACATATGTCGAGTCCACGGTTGTGGGGACGTGTATCAAGAATGACCAGTCCAGTCGGAGTTCTCAGGAAGACTGATTTATGTCACGAGACATTCGATACATTCCAATTATATACTAGAAGACGAGGAAGAAAAAGTATGATGAGAGCATCAAGAGATTGGACGACACAGAGAAGAAAAATAAGTGAAAATGAAATATGATGAAGCACTAAAACACGATTCAATCTTATATATTTCAGCAGCCTTTGCCGACGCAGGTCATATGTTCACACAAGTATAAAAATATATACGAAAAATACCTTCAGTGCACGACCATAACCAAATCAACGCAACTGTTAATCAACTTCTCCCTGCGCAACGTCGTGGTTTGAATTATAGAAATACTCATTAGCCCGCATTGGTTGGCATGTTTTCTTTGAACTCGTGCGTCTTCAATATCTATGGTTCGAAATCGTCTAGCTTTTATACCAGTAAATACGCTTAAGTGTTACGGTGATGAATATAACGGACCCTCTATGCGTTTATTATTGGTAGGCTCCGATCGTGCGAGTGCAAGGCTGTGCCATAAACTTGAAATGTGAAAACCCTTTTTCGAATAACAGTGCTAATAAACCTTGTTCGCAATTTCGTTTCTCGCACAAGCTCTTCCACGAATTGCACGTCGTAAAAAGGGATTAATCCTTAATTATTCTCCCTCAGTATAACGTCTTGAAATGGTGCCACAATTTACTGGCACAAATCGAAACGACCCACCTCACTTCTCGCGTACTCCCTCACGATAATATTTTCTGGGCGGGTATCGTTCGTTCACATTCCCAAAATGCGGTCATCGTTGATGAGCACGCGCGCAAATCAATGCCAATAAATAATAAGCAGTTTGTCATGAGGAGTGCATGAGCTGAATTTCTGGACCCCTAAGAAATCTGGTGCATCTACGTTTTCCGCATGCATTGGGGAGAGCCAATCACCCCGATTGACGGAGGGGGCTCGACCCATGAGAGGTCTCAAAATCTGTCTAGACCTTGAAACACACACACACTTCGCTGTAACACTGAGCGTGACGTAAACACGTAAAACATCACGCTAATGTGTCACGGCGCAGCCCATTTCTTTGGTCCTAAGCGTGTGTCCAGCTTTATCGTTCGCCGAGCCCCCTACGTAAATTGTAGTGATTTGTCTCCAAAGTGCTTTGCAGGGTAGTATAGATGCGCCAGATTTCCTAGAGTGTATAACGTGTACAATATAATCCCCACCCGCTTAAAAAAAAATGCATGAAGTATAGCTTATTAAGTTTAGGCTTCACGTTTTATGATTTGTTCTTCGGTGTTCGAATTGGGTAATAAAATACCGCAACGTACGTCATTGACTACGGAGTGTTAATAGAATTTTTGAGACTCGGCACGCCCTGGATATCCTAATTTGACAGTGACTATAATTATTAGCAATAACTTAATTCCACTTGTTCTTTTTTTAGAGTAGCGTCAAGACTGTAAAGCATAGAACTGTTTTTTTCCCCTTTTTAGAGGCGTGTATGTCCGAGGGGAACCATATGCCGCTCCCAGGTTGTTCAATGCTTCCGAGCGCCTTGCCCACCAATCCGAACATGTGAGTTTCATTTCTTTGTTTGCCTTTCACCGTTCAACCTGTTCTTTTTTTTTTTTTTTTTCGATCATAACTCTGCTTTTGAAAACAATCCTAGAGATGACAACTATAAATAGTTTATCAATGCTATATCATGAATATTCATTTTATCCAACTTTTGCTTCGGAGTGAGACAATTAGAAAGGTACTAGTTAGCGTCAACACTATTCGGAGCACTGCAGTACTACAATAAAAAAATCTGATATATCGCGCAATTGTGAAATGACAAGAATAGTCTGCATGCAAATGTAGGTTAGGTGTTAATGAAGATAATGGCCAGCTCAAGTGTGATACAAGAGCAAACCTGAGTCCAGAAAAAGCTGCACAAATCTCGAGTCAGCCACAAACGGCCAGGAATATTTTTTTTCACCTACCATTAGAGTTTAGATCGCTACAACTGTCATTGGCGTTGTTTATTTTTTCAACAATGCATTTATTGTAGGCATGGCGAGTGGTATTGTTTTAGTTTTTTCTTTTGTGTTTTACTGTATATTTTATGTGAACTTGTAGATGCTGTGTGAAGTAGTATTGTATATATATTTTAGAACTTGTACTTTACACCTGCCAAGGTGAAGATATCTCATGTACAAAATAAATTGTGAATACAATAACATATCTAACATTCAGGCTACAGGATTCTTCTTATGTATGCCCACTTTTTCGCTATGTTCTAGCCTGTCTCAATTCTTTATCTCCTTGTATTAAGGTGTTGAATATTAACGAAATTTTACCGGAGTTACAATCTTCTTGCAAGAACTACCAGCAAAAAAGTTACCTGAAAAATTTAGGTCGACGTCTCTCTAAGACTTAGCTTCTTGACGTTCAACCAAGCCTTACCGAAATGGCGACCACGATTCCGAGGTTAATAGAAGACTCATTTTTGAGTTATTCTACTGGCATCGGTCGCAATCACGTCACGTTCGAACTTGCAACAATCATGCCAAGAACAAAATCATGAAAGTATTTCAGCGAAGAAATTTAGAATGTGAAAAGCACTGATCTTGTCTTCTTCTTCTAGGTGTTCGGTTTTAAGGCCCAAGAATATCAAGGATCAAATCAGCCCTACCAGCCGTAACAAGTCTACTTGCGAAGTAAACGTCGGCAATCAAATAAAGTGTTTTCATGCATCTCTGCACTATTTGAGTCGTTATCTTTCGCTAGTACATCCATATACAAGTACTCCGGTCTGCGCCGCGACTCACGATAGAATTAAGACTCAAATACACTGACAGTCAGTCCTTTCGCCCCCCTTCTCCCGAACTTATGATCCAACGAGCTCACCACGGTAAATTTTGGCGTCTTGTGCTGTTACAGTCTTAGAAAGACGGCGTGTGTCTACTTTTTCGAAAACACATGCGAGCACCAACCGCTGTAACCTATGGAATTCGGCGAATTACAAGACACAATTTATGTTTAAAGATACGCCTTTTGATATATTTTGTTACGTTTTATATAAAGTTATTTGTTAGTCAATAGTTTGTGAACCTGTTTACTTGACGTGTTTTGTAGCACTTTTTGCATATAAAAATATTACTACGTACGTACATGCTTCGGTGTGAAATGGACGGCTATGAAACCTTAGCAGTGTCCACACTTCGAGCTTCTCAATTTTATATATATGCGGGAGAAAATCACCCACGGTTTCAACATGTAGCTGAATGCTCCTCCCAAAAGCATTACGTTCGCAGGTAGACATATTTTTACATAAATATAAAAAAGCATGGCCTGGATTGCCATTTGGAGAAACCGACGTGTAAACGCCCATTTTAGACCTAAAGTATACTCGGCGCCGTACGGCACTGAACATTGTAAAACGTCGCTATCAGTGCCACAGTCCAGACATTTTTATATCTAATCACATTTTCAGATCGTCGTTCGCTGGACTTCATCCGAAGGTTGTAGCGATAGGCCTTTTCGCAAAACCCATGGACACCTTGAGGCGAGGGGAAGTGTGAGGTTGTCCTGATGTACGCTCGTGCCGACTCGAACGCTTCGTATATATCCTGGAAGTGGCACGAATAATTATTTCTTATCATTAAGAGATGAAACCTCACAAAAAAAATTAATAAAGCGAACACGAAAAAAGGTCATCACAAACACTGATTTGCTTTCCTTCTACCGTCCCTGCGTTCTGAAGTTGAAAAAGGCTAAACTAACATCAACTTTGACTTCGATTCCTGGATAACCTCACGTGCGTACATGGGAACATTACAATACGTCAAGCAGGCGTTGGGGGACGCCACATATTTCCGCAAAGGTCTAATAGCTTTGCGGGAAAGTTGTGGGATCCCTTTTCGACGTGGTGTAGGAACCCTTTCCGGCGTTCCTCATCACCTGCCGTTCTTCCACCGCGGCTGCACCCGTGCACACCGCCTGACGTCACCTGACTTAGCTCACGAGACCAGGCTGACTCCTCTCCAAGAGTCGGCCAAAGAGAAGGGTCACGGGTCCAAGGGAGACGTTGGCGAAAAGGGGAGCGAAGTGGCAACAAGAACGGGCTGCCGGCGCCAGCTCTCTTGACTCGGCTCCGAGGCGTGGTTGCTGGCAGCGCTCTACGGAGATGTCGGCACTGGGCCGCCTCCGTGGGTTCCACCTTCCGCCGCCCTTGATCATGACCGCCGTGGCAAGCCTTTCGGACACGAGGACGAGGAAGAAGGAACCACTTGCGACACCAAACCACCACTGTACTAACGCCACCCGAGACCCCCGCGGGGCCATGACGTGAACGAATAAACGGTTTATGAGAGCTTCCAGTGATTCTATTCGGTGCAATCGCTTGGGAACGTGGAACACTCCACTAAGTGGACGTGAAGAATTTTTTTTTATTATTATTGTAGATGTGTTTATAAGAAAAACAAGCCTCCAAGTGAGTTCCATCAAAGTATCGCAGTGCGTTTTTCCCGCTAAATGTAGCGGAAAAACTGAATTTTTTCATGGGTGACGTGACACGAAGTCATGTGACGTCATTTTCCCCGCTAAATTTAGTGGAGAAACTGAATTGGTGTTGATGTCATTTGGCGGTAATTTTAAGCTAAATTTAGCGAGGAAACTGTGTGGTAGAGGGGAGTTTATGGAGGAGAAGGAGGGGAGGGTACGGGGGAGGAGACGTGTATATATTGCGTGGATGACCTTAAAAGAAGAAAACGAAGAGGGGAGGATGCAGGGAGGAAGAGGAGGGGAGAAAAGAGGAGAAGGGGGAGGATGGAAGGGTTAAATATTTTGATAAAATGCTTGGGTTCTCCGTACTCTCTCCTTTCTCCTTTTCGTACCCCCTTTCTCCGTCTCCATACACTTCCCTCCTCCTTCGTACACTCCCCTCCACCTCCTTGTACCCTCCCCTCCTTCTCCTGCTTTCCCTCCCGTTACGGTATATCGAAAAATCAAAATACCTCGATAGCTGGGCTCTGATTTCGAATCACAGTTTAGTAAACGTCTTTCAATTTTTTCTTCAGCTATTTTGTTGGGACAAGCCAGTGCTCTATATAAGTGGGTCATGGAGATGAACAAAGAGCGTTGATAACGGCAATAGACTTAGGCAGGTGCAAAGAACGAGAAAGTAGAACTTGAACTGTTAGGCCGAAACATGAGCAGCGTGTGCAACACGGTTGCCAATCAGGAGATCGAAAATTATAAACACGGTGTTATTCTCATGAAGGGTGCGGCACACCTTGTGATTCTGTTTCATCCATGCGGCGCTTTGAGCCCGCGAAGTGGGTTAAAAAGAACATGAAACTAAACATCTGGTAAGCATTGCTGGTGCATCTTAGAAATATGGCGGAGAAATGAACATATTTGAAATAACTTGAATTATTTATCGTAGAACTACGCAAAACTTTGGATCATAACAGATTTGGGGTTACAAGAGAATACTTTTGGGAGATCAAAAACGACTCTGAATAATATTCAACTTCTAAAACCTCCCTTGAGACTGCGGAAGAAATGATATCACTGTGAAAAATTAGGATAAACAAGCTCACCAAAACATTAAATTATGGATAATAAATACTGAAACAGGACAGTAATGCTCACAAAACAAACCTGTTGCCACTCAAAAAAAAAAAAAAAAAAATCTTGAACATTGGCTAAGAGCTGGTGAGGCGCCAAGGGAGGAAGGGAGGAGGGGGTTATATTACCGCAGGTTGAAAAAGATCGACCAGCGTAAACTTGAAAACAGGGGTTTAATCGGCGAACTTGTGCCAGAAACAAAAGAAAAGAATGTGCGTCAAAAAAGCACCATCGAGCATTGAGGTGTGCGCGTGACTGGTGGCTAGCGCGAGAGTGAGTCGGCAAGGTTATGCTGGGATTCTTATTGGCTACACTGGATACCTCAAAGATTCGGCCTAGAATGTTCGAGCGTCGGACTTTCGGGGTAAGAGTAAACGGGAATCTTCTAGACGTATGGAGTAAAGTGATGTTTCCACGATGAGTTTCCTGTCGGCCATACACGCAGCAATATCACGGAGACATTTATTTCGAGTTTGGACTTAGGTTATTCAGTGCTGATACTAAATAATTATTCTTCAAGAAACATTTCCAAGTCGCTAAACGTTTCTTTCAATATACTATCAGGTAACAGAGTAAGCATAAAATGCTCAAATTGTAACTAAACTATACCGCTTCGTTACATACCTATTCAGGCTAAGCAACACAGGAGATACCAGGCTCGCTCGATTTGCCTACACTTCTTGCGCCCGCTGCACTTGGTGTGCAACGCCTTTTTTTATTTAGTTGTTGTAGCCTATCTTAAACCACGTACCGGAAGTATATTGTTCCGCCGTTCTTTAAACGCGCTTCTTTTTTTAGGCACTGGTGTATGCTAATGAAGGTAAATCGAACGAGCTCACTGCTATTTCCAGATATCCTTCCAAAAGAAGATTAGTAAATTTGCCCGGAAATACTTTCAACCTCGAAATTTTATATCCACCTATCTTATTCCGTTAATCTTATATTGACACGAAAGCTCTGCGAATTTCGAGTATTCAGCTTCACATCCCCACTCTATGCTATAACCGCCGTTCAAGAGGACCAGCAAGAATGAACTGCAGTTTGCGCTGTCACCCTGTTCATCTCTAAGCTGACACAGGGGCGCATTTAGGGGTCAGGCTCGGGGAATTGCGGGAGGGGAGGGGTGTTCTAGACAGAAAGTTCTGACGTCGGGGCCGAAGCATTGGCTTGATCAATTTTGTTCACCTCCTTGCTACTTCAGAGAAACTAACCATTTCTTCCTAAAAAGAGCTGGTGTATGTCTATCTTTTCGGTTAAAGTCGCCCTTATGGCGAGTTTACACTTCCGAATTCACGGGCGAATCCGCGCATGCGAAAAGTGGATATTGGAGACGGTTCACGAAATCGACTCGTCGCTGGCGGAAAATCTGGATCAGTTCGGGACCTATACACAGATTTTCCGCCAGCGACGAGTCGATTTCCCCAGCCGGCCCCAAAATCCCCTTTACGTCTGCATCTGCCCGCGAAATCCGCAGGTGTTAACGTGCCATCAGAATGCTTAAAGGGCAGCTCCGGTCAAAGACGAAACGAAATTAAATGACTGGTATCGCTTTAGTAGCATGAAATATGAAACTAGAAATATTAAGTTAAATTAAAGCCGCGCACTCCACTAAAACCGATTTTAAAGCTGCGACCAGCCGCTCTGTAGCGGGCGGCAAGTGGATTAGATTTTAGGCAGGGAACACTGGCGGCAACACCCTTGTGACGTCACGTTGCTGTGGAACTGCGATTGATTGGTTTTCCCGCGTCCCGCTACACCCTTTGACGTCATGTCGCATCCGTACGGCTGGTGACCAGTGTTGCCATCTCTCTAACAGATAGTTTCGGTTTTGCGGCAGACGCTCGAAACCAAACTTTGAGCTGTGATATTTATAGAACGCACAATATATATATATATACATATATATATATATATATATATATATATATATATATATATATATATATATATATATATATATATATATATATATATATATATATATATATATATATATATATATATATATATATATATATATATATATATATATATATATATATATATATATAGTTATTCAGGGACCGTGCTTTAGCTGATAACAGTCGTAATCCCAAATTCAAAATTATTGACCGTAGTTGCCCTTTAAAAG